TTTCATATGCATAGAAGCAGGTCGAAACGCTGTGCTAACAAGAAAAGTAAACCGACGAATAAGTCTTATTGCCGCTACAAATTTTAATTTTCATGCTCTTTTCTAAACACATATTTATTTTATAAGCTTAGCGTAGTCTGACGTGATGACATGCCATCTATTCAATTTTTGATCAGGGACGTTTCTTTACTTTGGTAAGCAAATGAGAAAAGGGTGCTTTTAATTTGATTTGACCATAAGCCAGAAATTTAATAAGATTTAAACTCAATGTACGGAAAATTCTACACATATGGATCTAAATTAGAATCGAATTCACTACGGTAGGATACAAAACATGATAACTAATCAAACACACCACTGGCACAAGACCATATGTATGGAGCTCCCAGTAATGATTAAACTAAATCCGGGAGTAAAAGTTTACGATGACTATGCGTTTCATTTCTTTTCGTTTTTATTTCTTTTTTTCCTTCTGTCTTTCCCTTCAGTCTCATTCGTTCGTTCTTTCTTTCTTTCTTTCTTTCTTTCTTTCTTTCTTTCTTTCTTTCTTTCTTTCTTTCTTTCCCTTTGTTCGTTTCAATCTCTGTGAATGACTGTAAAACACTTTCCCCGCCTCTTTTTATAGGCAAAAACACACAAATGCGTGCTGGGACTTTTCCCCTATCCAATAAAATAGGCTGGTTCTCTGTTTCATCTGAATCAGTCCCGATCTGTCTTGTCTTGAAGTCAGAATGCTACGTTCGCGTGTCCGAACTTGCTTTTCTGTGTCGATGCCAATTCTTAGTTTGTGAAGTTTTTGCCATATTATTGTAGCTTTGACTTATTACTGCTAATTTCCCTTTTCTTTTTATTGTTATCGCTTATTGCAAACTTTGTTAATTCTCTTTGTTGGATAGTTCTGTTATTTATTTTACATTTGACCATGGCTACTCGCTCCACTCGCTTACTTTCTTTCTTTCTTTCCAGTCATATTGTATTTCTAATTTTCCGATTTAAATTTCTCCACTCCATTTGTCTGTCGCTTATTTTTTTCTTCTTTATTTAACCACTGACCTGCAGCAAGTTCTCTAAATTCTTCCATGACGACCATGAATGTGCTATTGTCAGCCATGCCTTATCAGCAAAACGATCTATATTATGTTTTCGTCCTTTGGTTTTTTTATTGCCGTGTTTTCTACCAATTGGTAACAAATCCAGCAACCTTTTGCTCCATCTCTTCTTCTTTCTTTTTCTTGTATGCCCCCCCACCCAATTTAATCACTTCTATAACACTTTCATCTTAATCTGTTCTCTATTCAAGGTCATTTATTCTTGAACAGCAAGTTATATCATTTTCCCTGAGAGACACATGTCCATGCAAGACATATTTTCTTTACGCTGTCCTGGTTATGACGATAAATTACAAGGCCTCTGATCGAGAGGTTTTGAGGAGCATGGAACCACCTCTTAATTGCTGCTGTTCCCAGGTCCACCGTAACCCAGGGTGGTAGCACCCGTTAGGGTCCCAACTATTGGCAAATATTTAACCCTTAAACTGGGGTCAAAACACTATGAAAGTATAAAAATACATATTCATCGTAAAAATACCAACAATATATTTTTGGGGAAAAAAAATTAACAGCAATACATTTTTGAAGAAAAAAATAACCAGTCATACATTTTTGTAAATGAAATAATTAATGCTCTCAAGAAAATTAAATTTCGGCATTAAATGATCTATAAGGAATTGTTATACCTTAAACAATCAATCATTCAATCAATCAAACAAACGCTTATTTTCTTTTTGTATATTTTTCATTGATGGGCACATGTCTATTCAAGAAAAGCATTTTCATTATGAGCTGGGTGTATATTCTTTCCTTAATGGTCACAAGTCAATAGAAATATGTTTTCCGGAACCATGGGTACCATTTTCGAAATACACGAAAATCAGGAAATGCGGTAAATCTTTAAAAATATCCAAGTTATTAATGTTTTTTCTTTGTGTCATGTTGGAATAAAGTGTCACTGCCGACACTCGGATTTGAACACGGATCGCCAGACAGCAAGCACAGTCGACCTCATCTTGAAATAATTAGATCACGTAACTGGTAAGGGAAATATATATGTGTGAGAATTAGCGACGTCTGACCGAGTATTGTTCGAAGGTGTTACTATTATTGTATCTGTGATTTACAAAGTCTCTCCTACAAACGGCCATTATAAAACTTTGCTAGTTCTTTTTTCTGAAAATTAAAGAATTCTTCTTGTATTTAAGGAATTAAATGCCAGTAACATGGGTGTGAAGAGGGCATTTGAAGAAAGAAACTGATTCTAATGTTTCGCAAGAATAACATAAATTAATGTGGACTTTTCTGGTATAGAGATGAGAGTATTGATCATATAAGCGAACGGATGAAGATGATTTTTGAGTGTATTAGGGATGATAAGTCCATACTGAAAACTCGTTCTATATAGTCAGCGATTTAATTATTGGGATTACCGTAATAGATGCCGTATAAGAATCCCTACTGGGCAAGAACGTGGCATGTAAATATCACCCGAAGCACACATGCGATGTTTTAAAATTATCTGGTTGGCTAATTTGCTTAGAGGTCGTAGACTAACAACACCAGTGCCTAGCCTAAAGCTTTAATAATCTATTTATAAAAGTATCACGTTTTTGTTAGCCCAAACTGAAATATGGGAGCTTCCGTATTTGATAAGATATATAATCACCATATTTTTTTCCGAAAGAATGACTCAGAAATATCTCCTAAATTGAGGTTGTTGGTTGATTATTACTAATTATATCTTGCTGAATTCCACAATGCAATATTAAGTCTAAATGCTTTCGATGCATTGAGAAGTAGTTAAACTAAAGACCATAAAAAAACACGTTTTTTAGACTGGCAAATACTATCAGTAAATAAATAAATGTTGGTTGTTAGAGGTGAAATTTTCGAAAGGAATTTACTTTAAATGCTGTTTTCCGCCTTTAAAAAAAGGAAATATTCTTTGATCAAAATTTTTGTCAAGGTTGATGCATTCGGTTTCCACGATCATTTTTTCTTTCTTCCTGCAGAACTTCTTCTTCTTCTTCTTCTTCTTCTTCTTATTATTATTATTATTATTATTATTAACAGCTGAGCACGCCAACAAAGTAACGCTGGCGTACAAAAATAGAAAGGCTAATAGATTCATCGTAACACACAGGCCGATATGTGTATAGTAGGCGTATGGATCACAACCAAATGTGCGTGATATTGTGAGAGGTTGCATAAGTAACCAGCGCATAACCTTCCAGATGAGGATCTACAGATTGGGTAACCCAGACCAGTCAGATGTTCTCCCGATGTTTTTTTTTCCCCAGGTATCTAAATCTGACTCCCAAATTGCTTTTGGATGCCTCGTTCTGTAAACTTAAGAGCCGAACACACTCGACAACCGACCACCGCTTTCGCTTATGAACAGTGACGTACAATGCATCAGCAACTAGGAAACGTGCCAAACTGGTTAATGTGAGGTAACTGAAAAGTAAATCTGTGGTACTGAACATGATTTTTACTTTAATTTATTAAGATAAAACATTTACCTGTTAAGAGCTCCAATCAATTAAGATCAGTAATCACGAGAGCCATGCCAGGTGTAGCATCAGGATATTTTATTATTGTTTTCGTTGTTGAGGCACTGCGTGTCAATGAATAGCCGCTCGGAGTGAGGAATCGGAGAGCAAAAGTTTTTTTTTTCCAGCCAAGTTCGTTAGTTTCACTTATCCTTGAGAAAAGCATGTATCCACCTCTTCTTCTTCGCTGTGGGTAAATAGAAGGTCAGATTGGTCCCTATAGCTTTGGTTGGAAACCAGTCTAGGAGAAGGAAAACTCTTACAGGTTTGGGCTCTTCACGCTGGCTTACCCAGGAAATGGTTTACCCAGGAAACACTGCTATGGCTGCAGTAGATGTGTAATGCCCCTTAGACCCTAAGGGGTTATGGGATTGATGATAGTATTGATTATGAGACTCCAAGGACTTTCAGCGTGTTCTTACTGTGCTTAACATAGTTTTATGCTGCAGTGTTGTTATTCTGGGTGCGATTTCGATTGTAGCAAACTATTTTTGTAAATCGACCCAAAGTGCTCCAATGACAATTGGCACAACCTTGGCATCTATATTTCACATCTCTCCACATATACGATCACCTCTGAGTAGTTCACCCCCGGGTTAGGGTGGATATAGGAACAACAGCAATTAAGCGGTGGTTCTATGCTCTTAAAAATCTTCAATCTCCTGATCATAGGCCTTTGCTGCCGGATGTAGTTTATCGTCATACCCAGGAATTTCATGTTTAGGGATATCTCTTCTTGTTCTTCTCTTTAGTACTAATCAGTTATTACTCCTTCTGCTTCCCCTTAGTCAATATCTACTAGCCCCCCCCAAAGGGTAGATGTGGCACAAGGCCGAGTTTTACGTGGATCTTTCGAGCCCGTAGGCTCGGCCAAAAATATTCCCTTTTCGAACTCGTATAAACGGGTGGGTTCAGGGTCAGTCTACCCCCCCCCCCGAACAAGGCTCTGCCCTTCGGCAGAGGCTCGTCCGGGTTTCTCTCTGCCCGAAGGCAAAGAGTTCGACTGTTTAACTGAAAAACATTCCGGCTGTTTCCCCCTTAGTCTAATTCTGCATTACTTGACCCTTTTTTTAACTCTTCTTCTACCTGTCAATGTAATGATCTCAAGGATCTATTAACAGACAGACATAACCTATTACAATCAATGTTATGTCTCGTCTGAAAGGCTCAATAACACTTTCAATCTGAATTCTGGAGTCCCACATGAGTTTCAAATACTCATTTTCCAACACCTTTACCGGTTTATATTAGTAACACTTGTCGGAAGTTTGGTGTTGGCACTTCCGGCACAAATACCGATGGACAGTCAAACACACTTTGTCATGGCGCCTCTTGTATTCTATCTTCGTAAGCAGGCACTTATGCGTCTCGGGCTGCATCTTCTTCCTACACAGAATACGGCCACATCACGTTGAAGACACAGGTTCCCGTATGATCACCGAAGTTAAACAACGTCGAGCCTGGTCAATACCTAGATGGGTGACCGTTTGGGAATAACAGGTGCTGCTGTAAGTTTGGATGTGCTGGTGGTGTAATTGATAATGGCTCGGAATTCGACGAGCTGCTTTGGCTGGTTCCCAAACTTCATGAATTTAAGCGTTCTACTAGGCTGGCATCTCGCTCTCACCCTTTCACTGTCAAAACTGTTAAATGTAGCCGTCTCTTCTATTCCAATAGCTTCATGTCTCGAACCTCTCGCCTGTGGAACTCCCTCACCCTTTCTTGTTTTCCTGATAGCTATAATCTCCAACTATTCAAATGTAATGCCAATCGACGTCTCCAGATGCCCTGATCTATCCCCTAACCGTCTCTTCATCCTTTCCTCTATCACTCCTCTTTTCTCTCGCTCCAAATATCTGTAACCCCTTGCGTGCTAGTGGCTTCCCGCCTTGCTTGGGTTTGAATGCTTAAAAAAAATTGGAAATCGAAGAGTTCCAATTTTCGATGGGTTCGTTATATCCATTTACGCGTAAATATCCTTGGTAAAGGTATGAATCCATCTCTTCTCCCCCAACTATGGGTTAATTAGTAAAACTTGTATTACTAAACCTTTATTATCTCAAAAAGAAAAACTTTCCTGGCTTTAGATAACCTACAAAGGGTTGATAAGCCGTGGAAAACGAATTAATCTAAGATACACAGACTACACTTATTGATTCTGCCAGATTGTATGTCTTTTTAACATCATTTGTATTTTGAGCCTGGTTCTGGCAGGTACTATCGGGTACTCAGTCTCTATCTTTTCAGATCACGGTTCGTTAACCAGTTACGTTAGAATCACTTTGTCTCTAGCTCAAACTGTCATAGATGTCTCTTCCCTTGTCGCTAAATTCTAACTTATAATCTGCTTTTTTTCCTTCGATATTCTCTTTTTATCAAATTTCTACTGTCCGTAACATATTTCAAAAGTTTTTCCATCCTGACCTGGCATCTCGACTTTACTCAATTTCTCACCGACATGACGTGGCTTCCCTCTGTCTTTTCTGTAATTATTCTTATGTCAACTGCTCTGCTGAGCTTTTTTCCCCTCGTGCCCCGACTACATGAATTTAAGCGTGCTACTAGATTGGCATCTAGGTCCCACCCTTTTACTGTTGAAATCGCTAAATGCAACCGAGACTTCTACACTAACGCTTTCTTTTTTTGCGCTTACCACCTGTGGAACAGCCTTTTGTTTACTTTGCTCCCTGATAACTACAATTTAAATGCAGCATCAGTCGCCATCTTATGTCTTCTTGAATCCCGTTCATCTTTTGTAATTTCCTCAATCCACCTTATTTTCAGCCTTCTCTTTCACTTTCACTTTCACTCCCTGTAACCTCTTGTGTGCTAGAGGTATTCCCGCCTTCTTTGTGGTAAAATGATTAAAAAACAAAACAACGTTTTGCTTTTTAATCAGCAAAACTTGCTAAACTATCAACATTCACTTGCAATCTTTTATGCTGATCAATTTGCATCTTCCAAACTTTCTGGGAGTATATAATGTGGGCACGTTTTCTTTTGGGTGTAATTCATAAAATCTGATCAAACTCTTGTTTTTCTGCCCATTTTCGTTCAGTTCAAAATGGCCACATATACGACTGTCACAGAAGGGTAGGTCAATTTTCGAACCGTGTTATTGCACTCAATTTGAAATTGGGGGTTTGACATGATAAATAAAAGGACAAAACATCTTTCCAAATCATTTTTTGAGGAAACCAGTTTGAAGGTTAATGTTAGGTTCAAAATCGTATCGTTGGAATTTCATTCCTGTGATTAGTGAAAGCCTTATAGCACAAACTTATAAAATTTATAATTTACTGAATATTTAAAAATTGTATATGGACAAATCATCGTGCCATCAAATAAGATCTTCATTTACTTCAAAGGGAAATTATACTGAACAATTTAATTATATTGTGATGTAATATATTATACAGTGCAATAGTTTTAGTGTGATTTTCAATAAACAATTCAAATTTAAAACATTTTGCCTGATAATTTGTACCCAGTAGTATTATGGTGTTATATACACTTTTATCCGTTTTTGTTTTAATTAATCATGATCTAACAAATGATTTAACAACTCTTATTCATTCAGTAACCTTTTTTTGTGATCTTTTACAACTTCTTTATACAATTTTTACTTATCAAATCCACTAAAAACATTACATAGACAGTCTTATAGCACAACCTTATAAACATTATAATTTACTGAGGCTTACAAATTGTTTATGGACATGATGCATAGTACACGCACATTATTACTAAATGATTTTAGCATCGAATAAGACCTTCATTTACTTCAAATGGAAATTATACCGAACAATTTAGTTATATTATGATGCAATATAATATACAGTGCAGTAGTTTTAGTGTGAATTTCAATAAACAATGCAAATTTAAAACATTTTTTCTTATAATTTGTACCCAGCAGTATTATGGTGTTGTATGCATTTTTATCTATTTTTTGTTATTATTAATTGTGATGTAACAAATATTCATTGATTAGCCTTTTTCCTAATCTTTTACAATTTTTTACTGCTTTTACTTATAGTAATAAAAATAGCTTATTTTGCTTGTGATTTCTAATTTGAATTTTTCTTAGAATATATTCTCCATTTAACATATCAAATACAAAAGATATCAAATCTGATTTATTTATAGTAAAATTTTGAAGTCAGTTTCTAAGCAAAAACCTGGGGAAATTATGTATTTCTATACATTTTTTTAGACGATCTTTAAATCTACATGTTCATAAGTTGTTAAAAGCTATGAATCTAATTGTTAGTGTTCGTACTTCTCACATCAAACCCCAGCTTTCCTACCGAATGCAATGTTGATTTTCTAAATAACAGTGACAAATCAACTTGCCCTACTGTCACAACCCATGTATCGATTGTTAGCATCAAAGTCATGTTATTTAATTTTGTTTTCAACAGCAATTCTAAGCCTTTACATGTACGCCACCCAGAGACCTTTCATATTTTTATTCAAATCTTAATCTAGCCTCCAAATTTCCAAATATTTATGCCCAGCATCTGCAAGTGTTTCAGCTGATAGCCTTACTTCATTTGTAAAACGTTACACTTTGAAATTCCAGATAAAATTCTAATATCGTTGCAGCAGCAGTTGAAAGTCTTAACCAGTAATTCAATTTAGGATTCGTTGGTGTGTTGCAATGGATAACGGCACCGAATGTGCAGAGTTCGAATTCCAGTCGTGTTCATTATGATCACTTATATCTTGGGAAAGGTATGAATCCATCTTTACTCCCGCTAGCCTACTCTCTCCAGCTATGAGTTGAACAGCAGGACAGACTGAGTTCTATAGGTTTCAAGTCATCCATGAAATGCAAGTGATTTAATCTTGTTCCTTCTCTTGACGAAGATCCAATCCTGTTTCTTGTAAAACCATGGAAAACGAGGTCGTGGCTAGCAGTGATGAGATAGAGTTACCTTGGGATATTCCTCTTGTAAATAACACTGAGTCCAGATGTTTATTTCCAGCGTACAAATTTGTTTTCCACTGAGGTATAGGAAATTTCATTTTAAGGATTATCTCATTCCCTACCCTAAATATTTGAAGATATTTGAGTACCCTCTAATGAGGAGCCATATTTGAAATCATTGCAAGCCATGTAAAGAGTTGTCGTTCAGATGTTACAATTACGCCTAACTGCCATAACAATATCAAAATAGTCATTGGTTCCTTGAGAGCTTTTTTCTGTACCCTTTCTGTTCGATTGGCGAAAGTTCGTCGAGGAACATGAGATTATAAATCTTCTCGGTTGAAATCCCAATCAAAGTTTTTTTTAAAGCAGATTGAGACAGGCTGTTACTATTATTTGATATGATTCCCGACTCCTAGACTATTCGGCCGGGTGATGATGTTTTGACTGGGTGATGATGGTCGTATCTCAACTCCTACCCGCAGCTCAGAGACACAGCATTTTCCTCAGCACATAAGCTGTTCTGAAAAGTGTTGCCACCTGCGTAATCCCAATGATGTCAGGTAGGCTTCCCGCAAGACAGAACAATTCCTGGAACTTGTCTTGAGTGCTCCAACCACAATAGGGACATCATGAGCTTCTGATTGGTACATTTCTCTGCAAGTTCTTGGTACCTCGATATTTTTGTCTGCTCCTAAAATGTTCTTATCCCTACTGACTTGTATAATGGTGTCGGTATGTATGTTCTTTCTTACACGCTTTCCATCAAGCTTCTTTTTTCTTTTTCTCTTCTTCTTCTTCTTTTTCTTCTTCTTCTTCTTTTTTTTTCTTCTTCTTCATTTAGATAACGATTCACCTCCCTCCACTCCATTTTAGTTTTATTGTTTTTATTCATCTCCTTTTTCATTAATACAATTTCTTTCTTTTTACATTCTTTTTTACTTTCTTTCTTTTTTCTTTCTTTCTTTCTTTTTTACTTTCTTTCTTTTTTCTTTCTTTTTTACTTTCTTTGTTCTTTCTTTCTTTCTTTTTTACTTTCTTTCTTTTTTCTTTCTTTCTTTCTTTTTTACTTTCTTTCTTTTTTCTTTCTTTCTTTCTTTTTACTTTCTTTTTCTTTCTTTCTTTCTTTTTTACTTTCTTTCTTTTTTCTATTTAACTCGATTTCTTAGTTTCGTCTTTTTCTTCTTGTCTTCATTTATCTTCATATATTTCTTCTTTTTATTTTATTTTCTTCCATTTTCGAAACATTTTCTTCTGATTCCTTTCTTTCGTTCGTCCTTCTTCTTTTTCTTCTTCTTTTACTACTACTACTACTACTATTGGTTATCTTTATTTTTTATTATTATCAATCCACATTTCCTTCTACTTATTTTTCTTCTTCTTTTTCTTCTTCTTCTTCCTATCCTTTCTTTCTTTTTACATTTCCTTCCTTCCACTTTCTTTCTATTCTCTCTTCGCCTTTTCTTTGTTTTCTTCTTGTTAATCTTCGCCATACGAACAATATTCAACTCCTGCTAGTATTTTCTTTCGTTTTCATTTCCTCGCATTTCATTCTTTTACATAAAAATACCCACCTTTT